TGGAACAGGCTGCCCAGGGAAGTGGTTGAGTCCCCATCCCTGGAGGTATTTAAAAGACGTGTAGATGTGGTGCTTAGGGACATGGTTTAGTGGTAGACTTGGCAATGCTAGGTTAATGGTTGGACTCCATGATCTTATAGGTCTTTTCCAACCTAAATGATTCTATGATTCTATGACGGCATGGCCACTCTGGGCTGCAGCTGGCTTTTTTCCCAGAATGACTGGAACTGCCTTTGCTTCTGCAGACAGCAAGCACAGATTTATCAGCAGGCAACGGAGGCAGTAACCTCCATCCCTGCCATGTCAGGTGGGAAAGGTGGCTGCCCACACTGTCCATCTGTCCACACCGAGGCTGAGCCTGGGGCTCCCTTCAGACCAACGTGGGGTTTGAATGAAGATCAGAAAGAAAGAGAAATGTAAAAGAGGCTTGTGGGAACTGTATGATTTTTTCAGTTTATTTTTAAAAGAGTGTGTTCCTGGTCTTCCAAGGGCCAGTGGGAGGGGTTTGTCCATATGAAGATGATCATAAATCAGGAGAAAGGAGCCCAGAGTATCCTTACTGTTCAGTTTGTAATAATTTGCAATGACTACGAGCTGGCAAAGTGCACCAAAGCCAATCGTATACTCGGCTGCATAAGTGTGGCCAGCAGGTGATGCAGGAGGTGATGCTCCCCCTCTGCTATGCTCTGGTGAGACCCCACCTAGAGTACTGTGTCCAGCTCTGGGGTCCTGAGCACAGGAAAGACATGGACCTGTTGGAGTGGGTCCAGAGGAGGGCCAGGAGAATGGTCAGAGGGATGGAACACCTCTCCTAGGAGAACAGGCTGAGAGAGTTGGGGTTGTTCAGCCTAGAGAAGAGAAGGCTCCAGGGAGACCTTATTGCAGCCTTTCAGTACTTAAAGGGGGCCTATAAGAAAGGCAGAGACTTTTTACCAGGGCCTATAGTGACAGAACAAGGGGCAACGGTTTTAAACTAAAAGAGGGTAGATTTAGATTAGATATAAGGAAGAATTTTTTTACGATGAGAGTGGTGAGACGCTGGAACAGGTTGCCCAGAGAAGCTGTGGGTGCCCCATCCCTGAAGTGTTCAAGGTCAGGTTGGATGGGGCTTTGAGCTTTTGGGCAACCTGATCTAGTGCAAGATGTCCCTGCCCATCGCAGGGGGTTGGACTAGATGATCTTTGAAGGTCCCTTCCAACCCCAACCATTCTGTGCTTCTATGATTTGACTTTTAAGCCCTATGTTCTGATTTGGGGGCACTTTGTGAACCTTTAAGTCAGCAACACAACTCCTAAGAAATCTGGGAAGAAACTTCTGCTTCTTTTCTGGTATCTAGGGCTGAAAATAAAGAACCACTTGGTGAGATAAGTACCCTCCAAATCCAGGGACCAGTACCTAGACCAGTCAGTGAAACCAGCAGCCACAGGGTTTCTCTAACAGAGCTGACCGCAGAGCAGCAGCTTTCAAACATTAACAGCAATGTTTATCTGCCTTTAGAGAAGCTTGCTTCCAGCATGCATGGACTGTGTGTGAGTCAGGCCTGCTTATCTCTTGATACAATCGATATGCAAGGCCTGCTACAGTTTGGTGCCTTATACAAACTCAATAAAGCCAGAGTAAGTACTGCTATTTCAGTATCAGCTGAAGAAGGAAGTAAAACCACAGGGCGCTGCTGAGGGTCTGATGCCAGCACTGTGTGAATTGTAAGAAATATGAAAGGGGGATAGAGTCTGTTAACATTTTCCCTCAGGTTTCCTATTTCTCTTCTTTTAAGATTCAACGTACATGAGATACGTCCTGCTGTAACCTCAGCTGTAACTCAACATGCAGGTCTGGGGGAGCAAGGGGAGAGAAGGAGAGGCTGGTCTGCTTTTCATGTGTGGAAAAGGAGGCAGGGAAGCCAGGGCAAAATATTTCTGAGGTCCACTCATGGCTCAGTGGGGATCCCAAACACCACCCTTCTCACTGGTTTAAAGCCACAGAAGCTAGATGTGCACACCCTGAAGGGACCGAGGTCATGCCAGTCAATAGAAGTGGCTGCTAAAGGCTCCCTCTCCGTAGTAACATGGCTCACAAAATCTGGGGAGTCTGGAGAACCAAGCCCAGCCCAGGCCAAGGATTCTCCACTTCCCCAGCTGAGCATTCTTATGGATTCTTATGAATCTGAGGATTCTTCTTATTTCCTCAGCAGCTGCTTTGGGTTTACACTCACCACCTACCTATGGAAACGGGAATGGGGACTCACACCCACTTACTCAGTGCAGCAGAGCAGGCTGCATGGAGAAGATAGATTACTTTCATCTTTGTGATTGCATTTTACCTTTTGATGCCCTGGATGTTTATTCCTTTATCATGTATTAATTATTGGCATTCTCTAGGCTTCCTTCTGTCTTAATCTGATTTAAAACAGACATTTGCATTTGAAAAGTAGCTAGCATGTATAGCAAATCCTTTCCCTTGGTTTGCTATTAATGCAGCCAGCTTTGATGTATTATATTAATGCTGTTTGCCAGGGGTGAAATTAGCACACCACCTATGGAGAGGCACTTCCTTGGTGAACCTACTGCTTTTACCCACAGGCAAACCATCTACCTCCCCTGGTGCAAAACCCGGATCCTGACTGCAGCATGGTCACACAACCGCTCCTCTCCCTGCTGCCTTTGCACTCTTTTGGAGAGGTCTAGAGGCTCTGCATCCTGCCTATGGCACGGGGTGCTGCATGCAAACCCCAACCTGCTGACCTGCCACTGGGGAAGGGTGAATTTACAGGAGAAGGATTAGATATCTGTTGCAATGGAGGAAGCAAGAGCTAAACACACTACAATACACCAAACCAGCAGCTGAGTGTCGTGCAGGGAATGAGGCAGGTGAATGCAGAGGAACGTGTGGTCAGAAGAGGACTAAGCGAGACCAGGATTTGCCTAATGGTCTTCACGAGGGTGTAAGCACAGAGGCTGAAACGCATGTGTGCTTCAAAATTATCTAAGCTTTCTGTTGCAATATCTTGGCCAGCTGGGGAATAGAATAAATCAATCCTCTGGTGAGTTCAGTACCAGTATTTCCTTTTTTTCCCTTTTTTTTTTTTTTATTCCACTGTATTGCTTACATAATTTAAGTCTTTTGGGAAGTTGCCCCAAGCCTGATTGATCTGTTTAAATTGGCGCAAGGGGCGTACGGAGCCACTGGTGTAACTCACTCAGGTTGGTTTAACTGCAATGATGAGTGGTGGGCACGGGACCGGGTGACCAAAGGTGCCGTGTCAGGCTTGCTGATGTGACGGTAGCTGCGCTGGCTCAAGTCACCAGCCTCAACCCACCACGGCTGCCCATGAAGGTTTTCCCTCCGCTCTGCTGAGCTCTGGCAGTCAAACTGCATGGAGCAGCCTCTCCTCACCCTGCTCCAGCACAATATTCCAGATCAGCTGTGACTCCTTGAATGGGAGTGTTCGCTCACCTGGCTCCTGCTGTCGGGACTGGGTGAGGAGCAGTATTCCTGCGTGGCAGAGCTGGGGAGGGGATGGCCTTTGGCAAGAAGTAGTGCCAAGCAGCAGGGGCTGGAAACCATGCTCTCCCAGAACAGCATGTCTGATCATGGTGTTAGTTGATTAGAAACAGCTCAAAGTGAACTTTTTTCTTCCTAAATGTCCATGTAGAGTTTTGCACCAGGTTGAGCTGGTTTTAAAAGCATTTAAGTTAAATTATTACAACTGCCCATGGACGAGACTTAAAGCAGCTTCCAGAGCTCATTTACAAAAGGGGTTGGAAAAGTTATTTCAAGTTAACAGCCTACATTACAGTAGTAGTTATTTGAACAGGTGGGGACCGGGGGAAGTAGGGACATTAGCCAAATCGTGAATCATAAGCTAATCAGATTGCCACCCATGTTTGCACCAAAAGAAAAAAAAGCGGTGCATGAAAATACCACACATTGCCAGCTACAGAACTGACTCAGCAAGGACCCAAACTTTTGCTGGGGTTTGCCAGGATGAGTGGCTACACTTCCATTTGGTACGGGCAGGGGCTCTCTCTGGAAGCCACCGGAGAGGCTGGCACTCCTCTGACTCCACCACCTCTGAAGGCCTGGGGTTTCTTTGTACTCTTTGCTCCCAAAAAAAGGAATGAGTCTGGGGCCTTGCACTCTTTACATTTATCCTTCACTGGGTCTGTTCTGCCAAAGTGATCAGCCCTTGGATTTGAGGCTCTTCCCGCAGGTCAGCTGGCAAAGCAAAGAGCCCAACTTCAGATGTCCCAGGCAGGCACCCCAGGACACCCACAGCCTCCACCTCCTCTAGGGATGCTGCAAGCTCCTCTCTCTGGTGCAGGAGGATGCATTTGGCTGTCCGGGAAGAAGCGGGTCACAGAGCTGTCCCTTAACCCTTCCAAAACCCAGGTGAAGGGCTGTGCAGAACCGCGCCATGGCCCAGCTATGCTGGACAGCAAGGGCTGCAGCGGGTCTGCACTGCCCAAGCACCGCGGTTGGGGTTCGCCTCCTCCTGGAGCACAGTCACTGAGGAGTCCCTGGGGTAAAAAAAAATACGGAGATTTAACTGGATTAAAAATAAAATAAAATAAAATAATAAAATAAAATAAAATAAAATAAAATAAAAACTACACTGTTGAAACTCTGTTGATGTTAGTGGAATTCCTTGTGTCTTACACCAGCAAGCAGAAAATCAGATCTAAAGTGCTGAGGCTGCTGGCAGATGCTTGCCTGTTTGTGTGTGCAGTGGAGAAAAGTGCTTGTTTGGTGCTGATTGCAGACTACGGAATAAGAGCAATTTCTCATCCCACCTCCACAGAAGCTATTTAAATAGTTCTACACCCACTTTGAAAGATGCTCAGTTAGAAAGGGATTAAATCTGGAAGTTATTACTCCTCGAAGGAAGAAGCACCAATAAATAGGCTCTGCTAAGACTGCCGGCACTTTTGGGGATAGCACCCGCCTAAGTCTGCCAGCCTGCCTTTGCTGTGAAACAGTTTTTATTAGGCAGCCCGCAGAGAAAGCACATGCTGCGGGAAAGAGCCCTGCGGCTCGTGTCCGAGGAGCCCTTCGAGCCGACCCTTTGTCCCAGTGAAGCTACAGGCCAAAGCCCAGCTGGCTACATGCAGACGCCTCGCAGACTGCAAAAGCTACCACGCGCTCCCCATCCAGCACAGGAGGGGAGGGAATGGCCAGCAAAACCCAAGGACACACAAGGCGAAGCAACAGGCAGAGCACTAATTAAAGAAGCCCTTATGAAATACCAGGGATAGGGTTGTGCCGTGTACAGTCATTAAATGCCTCCCTTTCCCCTCCTTGGGGATTCCCGGCCACGAACTCACTTGCAAAGTGAGCAGTGTTTGCCAGCTCCTTCCCAAAACCGGCGGTGGAGATTTAACCCATGGCACAGCACCTCCGCAGGGCTTCTGGTGGGATGCTGCCCGCCGCCTGGCCGCTCTCTCGGCCACCCGTGCCCCATGTCGTGCTCCCTCTTTGCTAACCCCCCTGCCCAGTGGGCTGGTGCAAACCAGTGGAGGCCCTTCCTCAGCGCAGCCGCTGCCCAAGTCTCTTCCCGGGGGGTATCGAGGGAAAAGTTAAACCCAGGTGGGGAACGGGGCTACCATTCTGTGCATGGGAAGCCAGGGACCTTGCCGCTGGTCACTCCCAAGCTGTCTGCAACGCTGGTCATGCCTGAGAGCAGACGTTCAGGCAGCCAGGAAGCTTTCCCAATCACACATTAGATTTTAGGTGTTTCTGAATTAGGCTGCACCCAAAGAGAGACTTTTATGAATTTGTGCACTAAAAATAGCCGCAGAGTGCCTAAGTCCTCTAATGAATCTCATACAATGCTACTGTCAGAGCCAGCTGCTCATATTTTTACCCCCTCAGCACAGTCATCCTGCTCCGTAACGCAGCACACCGGGGCCCCGACGCTACAGCAAGTTTCAGGCAAAGCCTTATTTGTCTCTGGCTTTCCCCCAGCAGAGCTCTACTGTGAGATTAAGATCTTAATATTTATAAGCCTCTGGTTTTACTATCTGTTTAATGTCACAGTAAATCAGGTGCCTACACTGCTATCCCTCCATCCCACCTGAAACCCTCACCTTCTTAGCAAAGGGCAGTTATGTTTTTCCTTAAAAATAAACTAATTATAAAACCGCAGTGATTTTCTCACATTTAAACAGCCTCTGTAACAAACAATTATTTCCGAGGACGTCAGAAACAGCTGTTGCAATGCCAAAGCTCAAACAGTTACATCTCTGCTATTTGAAAGGATAAGAGTTGATATTTTTATTCCCATGTGATATTACCAAGACATGATAAACAACCATAGCATTAGTATTAATTTGTGGAGCAAAGATCACTTTAATTTGCTCCAAACTGAGGAATAATTTTAACAGAGTATTACCATTCTACAAACAACTATTTGAAAGTCTGTCCTGTCTTTCCCTCCTTTTTTCTCCTCTTCCTTTTGTTTTTGATAAAGCGACACAACCCTGGGCAAGGGCTATTTGAAGGCAGAGACAGTTTGTAAGCCAGCCTTAAATCTTTCCAGATTGGGGAGTGGACTTCAAGAAATGCTTTCCAAAATTTAACCCAGCACTGTCAACTACTGAATAAAAGGAGAGCACTGACT